CGGCTGGCTCCCGTGCAGCGAGACGGGCCCGACACTCAAGTCAAGGTGACGGCGTTCGCCCCACCGTCAAATTTCTTCGATATTAACTGATGGGCGCTATTAAGCGGAGTAATTTTCGCTCCGGATTTTGTGTGTGTGTGTGTGTGTTACATTCATCACCAGCATCTACTTCCGACGTAATTACCGAAAGTTGAAGTTACAATTAAATTAAAATTAAAGTCGCGCATGCATAAAATTGCGTCCCATTCGGCGTAATTTTGCTATTTAGAAATGATACACATATGGGCGTTAAAAAAATAATTTTTTTCTCCCTCAATAACGCTACACGTTTAATAACAAAGCCATCATATTGCACCTACATAGTAATTGAAAGTAATATAAATACTGAACCCATTGCAATTTGAGAGAAAATAAAAAAATGATATGCTTCGGTATAGCCAAAATTTAATAGTATACCACGCAATAATAATTTAAAGTCCTTTGTCAATCCATTGCTCGATGAAGGCCTCCCCATGACATGGGGGGTTGCTTCACCATACTTCACCACACCAGTCAGTCTGGCTTCGCGATGGAGTGGGACTCAGGTCCGGTTCAAATAGCGCTCGGTCACCATGGTCATGATTTCGCACTCAGGGCGCGCTAGGGTTTACGGCGCAAACTGCTGCACCATCACCCCTGTAGAGTAGGGGTAGGGAACTTTTATTCTGCCAAGGGCCATTTGGATATTTATAATATCATTCGCGGGCCATACAAAATTATTAAATAAAAAATGTGCCTGTTTATATTTGGTCAAACATTTAATTAACTCACCCATAATACGATGGCTGGAACTGCTTCTCTTTGGCGAGGCGTGTGATGTTAGCTGGTATTGATGATGTTGCTGCTACTCGCAACTGCTTTTCCAGGTTTGCTCCGAGATTTATTGAATTTCGAGTCCTGCCTGCGCTTGCCTTGGCAGGGCCACACCAAATGATTTCGCGGGCCTTATACGGCCCGCGGGCCGGACGTTCCCCACCGCTGCTGTCGAGAGATAAGTAGGGCACGAGCAACGATGACTTGCCGGCAATTGTCAGTGTCTGTACCGTGTGCTTATCCGAAGTAAAAGTGAATGTAAAAAAAAATTGTCCCGAGGGAAAGTTTTTTGGCACATTTGAAGGTGGGAGAAAATTTGGGGTCTTTCGCTCACTGATCTCATTCTGCAGACCCTGTGTATGAGAACAACTCTCAGACGCAAGGCACGCTGGGGTCGTGATGTTTTTTTTTGCGATGAGGAAAATCGCATGTCAACGCATCGGCCCGTCAGGCCGCACCACGTCAACGTTTGGCTTATTTCAAGAGGGCGCGCCGTGCCGATGAGACGGGGTGACGTTGAGACCCGGGACCATAGCCGCCTCGTACGAATGGAAGATTGATCAAAGTTGCCGATGGGTTAAATATTATACATGTTTAGCGACCGAGCGAAGCGACTTACTTACGTGTAAAATAGAACTGTGGCAGGCAGGCGTATTCGTTTGTGAAAACAAATAAAACGTTTTACTTGCAACTTAATCAACGCAAGACTCGAATCGTTGTCCCACACATGCGTTTAAGTAAAAAAAAAAACTCTTCAATAGTGAATCTCACCGCGTCTCAAAACAAACAAAAACAAACTTCGTGTTTACCGCCACCTCCGTGTACGACCCGGGTTGTTACACGGCGTCTACAAAACACGCCGTCGGTGCGATAGGAAATGGAAAATACAAACTCTTAGGTTTTTTCGGTAAAGTCACGTAGGTAAAAAATAAAATGTAAAGTTAATAAAAGTAATAATGGAAAAAAAATAAAAAATAAAAATCACGACGTTTCGGAGGCAACACCTACGTGACTTTACCGAAAAAACCTAAGAGTATGAATCCTTGCAGTCACGAAAGCTTCAAATCTAGAATGGAAAATACAAGGCTGTGAATAAAAAAAAGAGAGAAAAGGCACCTCAACCCGTGACAGCCAATCCACTGAGACAGACCATCAGAGACGGCGTAAGCCAATCACAAGTGGCAAGTGCCACTTAGCGATGCGGCGCTTGCTTATTTTACCCTGCTTTCCGACCAACACATTCCTCTGGGAAGATTTTGTAAATAGAAGAGAGAGAGGAGGAGGAGAGGTAAGATATTTAGGCCGCTATTAGTGTGGTAAAGTGCCCGTCTGCACAATTCAGACAGACATGCACACAAACACTCCAAGACAGCGGAGGAGGAGGGAGGGGGGTGAAGAGAGAGAGAGAGGGGGGGGAAAGGTAGAGGGAGGGAGGGAGACAGCAGACAACATCAATAAGTAAAGCAAACAAACAAATGCATAGGTAAAGTCAGTCGCAGTGGTGCAAGGCATTTGCCATCCCTTTGCAAATATCAAATGTACTCTTCGCCCAACGCAGCGTGAGGCTGCTCGTTTTGAGTCAACATGTCTTGAACAAAAAAGCCCTGTCGAGGCATTTAAGAGATAGACAAACGCATGCCGACGCCTACGTATAAGAGTCGTCTAAAGGTGGATTAAAATACGCTCCAGAGATTTGCCCCAAACGCACCGCGTAACTCAGACTAAAATGAAAGGCAATTGTGACTGTTTACTGCGCTAATCGCTACGAATAAAAGCGATTGCATCTGTTTTTAAGTGTGACTTCAATTCATCCAGGTGTACAGTCTTCGGCGAAAGACCACACGTGTCCTTTGAAGACGCGACATTTCTAAGATGGCATTTCTTGTTAATTTGATCTCTGATTAAAGAACGATGGATTGCGGTCACGAATTAAGGCTCCGAAAAACGGAAGTTTTTTTTATTTAAATCGCAAAAGGAATGCTCAATTTATCCTTCAAAGACAGGGAGTCAGTATTATTGATGGACGATATTTGGTTTAATCAATTTGTGTGTGAGCGTTTTTGTGTATCCAAGGTATTTTACAAAACAAGCAGCAGACATAATCAACTGCAGTTTAGATTCGGGCATACTAACCATCCTGGTTGTGTTAAATGTATCGTCCTTCCCCTACACCTCCGATTAGGACGGTTAGTTACGTGCTGTGCAAAAGAAGTTCAACATTTCGCACATTCCGGCGATAATTACGTGAATTAAATCGTTCATCTTTACGACTTTTATTGACCATTAGATTTTCCAAAACATTGTTAGTCAAATTTGTGTTCCCCGAAACAACGCACGGACCATCAACTGACCGGTGCACACTTACCCTCGCCCAAGGCTCCCCGCCAGACAGAAGGCCGTCATCTGACAACAATAATCACGATAAAACACACACACACACCACGCCGCTTGCAGCGAAAAAAAAACACCCACCCCCCCGTTCAATTTGCGCCCAACGCGGGAAATTCCACGTCACACACGCTGTGTGCTCCCACGCTGTTTCCTTTTCAAGACCCCCCCTCCCCTCGTCACACAAAAACAGCGATGCAGATGTTACTGCTTTAACGGTGGTTAACGGTGGCTTGGCATCCACGGAGTATTTTGTTGTTGTTGTTGTTTCGTTTTACCGGGCAGAGCTAACAACGGCATGGGCGCCTCTGACTTGTGGCGATTCGCAAGGCGAAGCTCCCCCCGTGTTATCATCCACCGCCGTCTCATTATCTCTCCCTTGCATGCAACTCATTATGCCGCCAGGGCTGATAATAATCCAGTCGAACATCACTGGGAAGAAGAATTTATTATGACATGAATTATTAATCTAACGGGACTGCGGGTTGCAAGCGGTGCTTCGGCGTTGCAGGGGATTTCCTCTCTCTCTCTCTCGCTCTCTCCTATCCCTCGATTCTCACGCATAAAAGCCAGCAACTCTGCAGGTTGTCACTTTAAACAGTAGCTTTTGGCCTCCGCCTTTGATACGGAACATCGGCCAAAGAATTAAAGTTAAGTATAAATTATAACAAAAAAATAAGTGCGTTGTTTTGCTCATCTAAACTAGCGCGCACATGCATGATACGCTTAATCCTTACGAAGTGGTCACAAAAACTTTCTGCACACTTTCAATTCGCGACTCGCATCAGTTTTTTACTATGAACTCATTCATGTCGATGTTGGCACCGGTCCTTGTTCGCAGTTCGACGTTCAACGCCGTGGCCTAATGGGCACCGGCAATCACTGCCAATACGCTCGCGTCGCCAAACTTCGAATTATAATTAAACAGGTTACAGGGAATTATGTCTTTAAGCGCTACCAAATTGCTTTCTCTACCATTGCTGCCGCCCGAGGCGACGCGTAATAAAGGCGTCTGCAGTTCATCTTCTTGGTTCTTTCGTTTCGTGCCAGATCTAACTTCTGCCGCAGAAGCCTCCTTTCGTCCGATCATAACGAAGCCGAGCCGTGCAAGACGATGCCATCGAAAGCAAATGCGGCAAACGGTATCGATGGGTTAAAGACGTCGCGACGATTTGCGGTGTCCAATAGGTGACGATGACAGCGCGAGCTTGCGCAAAGGGGACGTGAGGCACAAGCCACACCAAGTGGGCTCTCGGCAGAGGAAGAGGAAAAAGAATGTAGTCATGCCTCGAGGTACAAAGTTGACGGATTTGTGGAGTCGAGAGAGGACATTGGAGCAAAGTGAACAGTAAATAAAATTCGAGGAAACAGCGTGAAAGACAGCTGAAAATGGAATTGATGGAAAAGAAAAAAACCCCATCAGTTTGCAACAGGACTATGCACAGATTTGTATAACAAGAATCCGTAGAGAGAGAGAGAGTGAATGAGTGAGTGAGAGGGCGTACGAGAGAGAGATGGCCTACTCAGAAGGTCCACAGCTTTGCAAAGGTTGCACTCCAGCCAGGGCTGTGCACAGAATAAACAGAGTATTTAATTTCAAAGGCGAGCAGCACAGACATTCCATTGTTTGAGCAGATTAGTGGTCCAGAAAAGAAAAACACCAGATGCAGTTTAGGACTCTCTGAGACATTCCAGTTTCGCTGCGGGGACTGACAGAAAGTGAAATGCATCTCCCTCCGCATGCTGCTCGGTGAAGAGGAAGAGGAGGAGGAGAGCGCAGGAGGTGAAGGAGGTGAGGGACGGCGTGTGTGGGTGTAGGTAGCAGCTCGCCGCTGCACGGAACGTGAATGAACCCCTCCCACGCCTTCCTCCACACCGAAGGGGTTGGGGAGGGGGAGACGAGATGGAGGCACACGTCCGAAGCTGTGCAGCGTGTGTTTTCGATCACCCTGTTGGCCGTGGTCAAAGAAACGCAACGCAGCTGACAGTACCGACGTGAAGGTAATGCAAAGCGAACGCAAGGTGTAGCGAGAGTTGCCACTGGGAGCTGTTAGGGGATTCGTGCAGCATATTTTGCCACTTACTGCATTACTAATCCATTTCTCTGTAATTGTCATACGGGATCTCCAGAGACGCCGTCTGATATTGAGCCAATGTAGATTAGTCTTGCCTTCTTCATATCGCAATTGCCCTCTACTGGAGATTTGTAAAAAAAAAAGATCGGCAGACAGGTTAGGTAATTTATTGCAGGATGTATCTCCCTACGCGTTTAAACCACGCGTGCGATATTTCCTCAAAGGGAAAATAAATCGTTGGGACAAATCCGCTGGCTTGTAACTCGAAAATAAGGCGTGTAACAAATATTTTATTTGACCCAATTTGTCATTTCGGGGACGTGAGAGCATTTCTTCAGTGCTTATTTGTCAAATGATTTTTTTTGTGTTGAGCCAACCCTGAAATAATGACTTGGGTTGCTAATTGTTGTTAGCAAACAGTTAATTCCCAAAGCTCCAATAACTCAAACTCGGCTAAACGGTTACTCATAAAACCCGTCTTGAAGTTGTATTTTTTTGTTCGACAAGTTCCCTTAGGAGGGTTAAGCAATGGAGCGTTGTTTATTTTAAAAATACTGCGCGCTAATATATTTAATCATAATAATCAAAAAATCCACACGAGTTCGTAAATGACAGGGGAGAAAATATTCCGCGCACTTTTTTTTCATCCAGAAGCTATCGTATTTATTTTCTGCATCTTACCCAAAATTCCTTGGGTTTTTCGGTAAAGTCACGTAGATAGGTTGAAAGAAAATAAAAATAAACTACGACGTTTCGATCGCAACACAAGCGGTCGTCATCAGGAAAAGGAGAGTTAGCTTCTCAAGGTAAACTGTTCATAAAAGTTTGAAGTTTTCGTGACTGCAGGGATCCACACTCTTTGGTTCTTTCGGTAAAGTCACGTAGGTATAAAATAAAATAAATGTATACCTACGTGACTTTACCGAAATAACCATTAAATTTTTTTTTTATACCTACGTGACTTTACCGAAAGAACCAAAGAGTATGTTTATTAAGGTTTTAAATGGGCGTAGCCCAAATGTCAGCAGCATGGGCGGAGCAGCTAATGCTAATGTGAGTGGTGGGCAGTGACCGCGACCGTGGTGGGTTTTTCCACCAATCAAAGGGCTGCCAGGTAAAAAAAAATTGCATGTTAATGTAAGAACGCCGAGCGTGCCAAGGTGACTATGTTAATGTGAGAGATTCGGATGTTAATGGAAGATCGCAAAGCAGCAACATCGAGTAGGGCGCGCGAGGTGGCTGTGTTGGTGTGAGAAATTCAATCTGTTAATGTAATTTTTTTGTTATTTTCTTTGAACCTATCTACGTGACTTTACCGAAAGACCCAAAGAATATGAATTCCTTGCAGTCACGAAAGCTTTAAGTCAAGATCTTACCCAATCTTTACTTAAACAGATACGAAGCTCACCTTGTTAAACCCACACCCCTCCCCACCCAAAATGTACTTAATTTATATCAATTTCATATCAATCCCAAAAGAAATGTTTTCAAAGGAGCTCGAATATGATGCAAACTAGGTCACGCCTGTGTTAAACGACCGCCACACTGCTTTAGCGTTATGCACGAAGCGACTTCACACGTCAATTTAATTTTATAAACATTGTATATAAAAGCAGGGCCTTTCACTAAAACACGTGGCACAGCTCTGATCTCTCATCATATCTCAGCAGCTGAGCAGGTGTGAGCCTGCACGAGCGCTGGCATGGGTGAGCACTGCGCGCGTATTAAGACGCTACCGGCCGCAAAACGAATCGTTGTACGATATGGTCCCCACCTTCGCCAAAACCCGCATTGACCAACGCGGTCAAACATGCGGTCAAGTAACCCCCGTGACCGACGCAGCGTGTGGAGGCCCTCCTCCAGCAGTGAGCTGACTAAGAGGCTCTCTACATGTCCAGGAAGAGCCCCAAACTCGCATGTGCCAATATCGTTTTAACCATACGAAACATTTTTTTCTTCTTCTAAAGTAACAACAAAAATTGAACGACCAACTCTCCCACGGCTCTGCCGCAGCTGCGCGATCGGAATCGTGTCATGAAACAAAGTTGTCCGTGTAGAAGCGTCGCGAAGCGGTGTGGTGCAACACGCGTGTGCCAGAGGAAATCAACCGCGTGAAAGGGAGCTGTTGTGGAACTACTTTTGAAATCCCTCTGAGTGACCTTGCATCCAGGCTGGGGGAAGGGGGGGGCTGCATTACACTGGTCAACAACAACAAAACTTTTTCTTCTGGCCTGGACTTTTGCGGCTGTTTTAGACTAATTTCAGGGTGTTGATTTCAAATCTGATCTCAAATTTACTCTATCACATCTCATTTTTATGCTATCGGCATACCCCATTTTCATCGATTTTACCCGAAATTAACTCTGTCACTTATGATTGCAAGTTGTTGCGAGTCAGTGACTGCTTTTGTGTTAAAATATGGTGCTGTATTTTTAGGATGGTGTGTTTATAATATCATTTTACGTAGATATCCACATTTATTTAATGTTTTTCTTCTGCAGTTTTTATTGAAAATGCAATATTTGATATCTCAAAAACCTAACATGTGATAGAGAAAAACTGATGCCAAATTTGGAATCAGCACCCCAAAATTACATTAGAACCGTTGGAATACCTTATGCCAGAAAAAGTGTGTGGACCAGTGTTATCCCGCGTCTCGCATCTTTCGTGTCGTATATCGCAAAATGAAAAGTGCGGCCGCAAAAACGAACCGTGCGTCTGTTCCTGAATCAGAATGTGTATTTATACTGGAGGAATCCTTTGAGCTATAAAGCTCTTTTTCCACAGTTTTGCGGTCGTGGTGAGTTGGTAAGAACGTTATTAAAACACAAACAATACAAACACACGAGAATCGTGCAAAGTACAAGAAAGGTAATGTGAGCGTTGGCTGCAAGCACCTGGGATGACCACGGTTGGCTACGTACGGCGCGAAGGAAGTTCAACCGTACACACATACACACAAGCGCCGCAGCCTAACGCATTTATCGCAAATCTCACAGCCCCAGCCGCCACCCCCACGCACCCGGCACTTCAATAGCGCAGGACAAATGATTTCTAAGCTTCCTGGGAAGTTGAATGTAACAGCTGGAAGCTTGTAGTTGGGTGTAAAATATGAGGCTGAGGTCTTTTATAGGGTTTTCCCAGCCGAGTACTGTGCCAGAAAAACGCCTACAAACACCAGTTAGGAAATTAATAGTTATATTTGACTCGTTCAATTGAGGCGGCTGACAGGTTTTTGCCTGATTAATTACTGAGAGGGGAGAGGAATGAACACAGTATGAAAAATACCACTCCTTTGAGGAATGGACCATGAGAGAGAGAGAGAGAAAAAAAAGGTTTGAAAGTGTTAAACTGTGCATTGGACAAATAATAATGGCTCGGGTTAGTGGCCACCAAAACTAAATGCATCCAACACATGACCGCTCACAAGCTCGCGATCTCTGGTGAAGCCCTCAACAGACGCTGCTTTTCATAATGGTTCTGTGGGTGCGTGCGCATGTGTGGTGTGTATGGAGCGGTGGTGTCGCGATTCGCGCGCTGCGCTACAAACACCGGCGACCCGGGTTCGATTCCTGCTCACGGCCAGCACCGGTGACGATTATCTGAACCGGTCCTGGGCCCTCCCCTAGGTCGACTCAGCCTCACATGAGTACCTTGTACGGTGTGTAAACATCGCCACTGGGGAAAACAAAAGCGGTCGGCCGTGGATGCTGGCCACCCACCCCCTCGTAGGTGTTCGCTAACAGCACTTGCCTCTACAGTCTGTTAAAGGCTGGGTGGGGGGAAATCTTTGTCTTTGTGAGCTTGCACGCATGCCAACGGTTTACATTTATGAGCACAATCACAGATAAAGGATTTATGTTAGCATGTAAAAACATTGCTCAGTCGGGTGATATTGACACAGATGATCGGATACGTTTTTATTTTTTAAGGGTGGGGGGGGGGGGGGCGGATTTTTAGTGTTTTCGGAAAACGTGGTTCTTCGCTTGGTGTCCGCTGTTGTGATGGGGAGTGGGGGGAGGGTGGAAGTCGTAGGAGTTTTGCTATCATCATTATTCATTCACATTGGCAAGCTGCTAAATTGTGTTACACGGCTTAAAGACAAATGATTTACACGTGCTTGCAGCTACTTTGCGTGGGAACGGAGACCCATTGCTGCCTGATATGTTGGGGCAAGTGTTTTTGTTGCTGTGGTGTATGTATGTGTATCGTTTTTTTTAGTAAGCGCTCGCTTGGAGCGTTGCTTTGCCCGGCTTGCCGGTCACAGAAGAGCCAACCGCGAGCATCATCAAGAGCACAGCGCTGACCATTTTGGGCAGAGCAATGCAATTCGTTCTCAAAATTATTTTGTCGATGACCTCCGCATGAATGACGCAAATCGAACGACGAGACGAACTTTGACCCGCGTTGCATCACGGTGTTACGAAACCACGAAGAGTCGTCTTGTCGTTATTGTTTATTTCTAACGCAGGATCTTGCGAATGAAAATTGATAACGTCGCCTTGATAGTGCAATTTAAATCATGAGCACTCGCGTTGAGTAACAGTATTGGGCAGCGGCTGCTTCTTATGGATGGAGAGGCTCTAATACTCTGACTGGCACGCACCCATTTCAACAATTCACAATGAGACCTGAAGACGGAAGCTTGTGTTGCCTCCGAAACGACGTGATTTTTTATTTTTTATTTTTATTTTACTTTTATTAATTTTAATTTTAA